GCCGCGCACACCCAACCGAAGTAAATATGCGCGAGTGAAATGTCGAATGTGCAAAGATGTGCTGCTATTTTTCCACAGTGGATAGGAGTCATGCAGGCAGGAGGGGGGGGGGGGGGTCGTACGCGAGAATAAACCCATCTGCTCCCCCCTTAACGCCTCCACCACTTCTCCACTCGACGTCCTCAAAGGCGAAGGCCGCAGCTCTCTAATTGGACGGCCCCGTGTGGAGGAAAAGGTAAATGGAAATACAGGACGACGAACGGCCGTCAGAGGAGAGGGTGGCTCGGTCTGTCGTTGGGTGAGGGGTCGCGGCCAGGTTCCACCGAATACTACTCCTACTCCTTCCCTACCCTAAGACCAGGTACCAGGAAGGAGAAACTGTACAGCTAAGCAAATGGCTCAATAATTCAATAATTTTTTAATGTATGAATTTTTTCCCTACAATTTGAAGTTTTTCCTTTTTTGTTTTAAATATTATAATGTTTTCCAGTTTCGTACATGTTTATAGACTGAGCTAGGCACATTCGTGCAAATTCGTGTAAATTTTCTACAACCAAGTGTGCAACTGCTTCACACTTCTAAGTTGAAAACTTGCTAAGTGTGCAACTCGGTAGCTGTGCACTTGCAAGTGTGCAGTGCAACTCCTCGGTTGAACACCTCCTTATATTTGGAAGCTCACTGTGTGGGAGGTGCTCAACAGAGGACTTGCAAGTGCACAGCTATTTGAGTTGGACACTTTCAGGCGCACAGCTATTGCGTAGAACACTTGCAAGCATTCAACTTGCTGTTGCACACACTTACAAGTGTTACGCAGTTGCACACTGTGTTTATCAGTGCATTCCTAAAGAGGAGCGGAAAAAAAAGCTCCATCAGGTGTGTGTACCCAAACTGCCACGGCAATGATATTAAAATTATCGCATGTCACTCACTCACCGTTCCGACTGTTCGCTGTCCCTTCCTCCCGCCTCGGGGCTCACCACCGCCGGCAGTTCGCGGAGCAGCAGCAGCAGCAGGGCATGGCGCCGGCCGACGCGAGTGCTGAGGGGCCCCCCTGGCCTGGCCGACGGCGTGCTCGGCGTGCTGCGCGGGGCGCGAGTGGGGCGGCGGCGGCGGCGAGGTTACCGCGGCGGGCACGTGGGGCGCACTGGGGCCCCCCGCCCGGCCGGCCCGCGCCCC